CTTTTTAATGCCGCGACCCCCAACCGGTTGTAAGTCGAGGACTACTCAACCGGTCGTAAGTCGAGGACTACTCAACTGGTGCAGCACCGTTTGCAGAATGGGACTTTTGGTGGGCTCAGCAGGGCAGAGACTGCCTGGACAATTCCTATTGGCTTTTGAAAGCCAATAGAATTAGACACTATTCAAGAGAGTCTATTCTCTTTCAAAAGCCAATAGAATCAAAGGGAGTAGCACAGCTAAGGAAAAGGGGGAAAAAATGGCGGACTGCGTTGTTTGGCGACCCCCGTGAAATGGTCGTTCGACCCCAAATGGGGTCCCGACCCACAGGTTGAGAACCATGGATCTATCGCAAGGTTATTTTTAAAGAAAGCAAGTCAAGACCATCCTTTTCCAGAATAGCCATCCGTTCTAGATTAGTAATATTTTAGACTACTCAGGGAGTAGTCATTCATTTAGTGACTGTTCAGAGTTACAACGGCGCTGAAAAAAGTGACTTACGACTATTTTTCACACTTATTGGCCATTGTGGCATCCCCATGGTCATGTGATCACAATTCAGAGACTTGACTCGTATTTATGACGGTCGCAGCGTCCCTGGTGGGTCACGTGATCCCCTTTTGCGACCATCCGTCAAGCAACGTCCGTGGAGAAGCCAGATTCACTTAAACAGTAAAATGGGGCAGAATTCACTTAGCGAATGTCTCGCTTGGCAACAGAAATGTTGGGTTCAATTGTGGTCGTAAGTCGAGGACTACCCGTGTTTAGTTTATGCAGCCCAACTCTCTTTCCCTAGCATTTAACGCTGCCCTTAGCGTCTCCGCACCAAGTTTCCAGCACTACAAAACAGATGTAGCTTGTTTCAGAGCAGTGTGCAAAACTCAGTCCAGCTTTTTTATTGACTCTATGGGTAGCCTGTTTTTAAAATATTACAATACAAGGTTAAGTTTGAAAACAGCCAAGAAGGGAAAAGGGGGGCAAGGAAGTAAGAAACAAAAGAAAAGAGTCCTTGTAGCAATTTAAATATATATGTATATATATATATTTATTGCCAGTTTGATCTTGTGCTTGGAAGCATCAGGCTAGAAGTTGGGAGACTGTTGAGTTCTAGTCCTGCCTTGGGCATGAAGCCAGCTGGATGCCTTTAAGCCAGTCACTCTCTCTCAGCCCTAGGAAGGAGGCAATGGCAAGCCACTTCTGAAAGTCCTTGGCAAGGAAACTGCAGGGGCTTGGTCCAGCCAGGCATTCGAAGTCAAAAGGCACAAAACAAACAGATATTTTTCCTTGCAGTTCATATATCCTGGTAGAACAAGATTCTCCAAAGCACCTTGAGAGCAAGGCAGAAAGTAACCGGTGGAAGCGTAACAAAGAGAGAAGCAACCTAGAACTAAGGAGAAAGTTCCTGACAATAAGAACAGTTAATCAGTGGAACGGCTTGGCTTCAGACGTTGTGGGTGCTCCATCCCTGGAGGTTTCCAAGAAGAGAATTGGACAGTCATTTGTTCAGAATAGTGTAGAATCTCCTGCTTGGGCAGAAGATTTGACCTCCAAGATCCCTTCTCGTCCCGATACAATACATTTTGCCTGACTCTCCTTTGGGGGTAGCATTGCCTGGGAAAACGTGTGGATATAAGCAGCAAGCTTCATGCTAGGCCCAGCAATACAAGTCTCCAGACACCTAACCTATCTTCAGAAGCCAGCTTCTCACCAGAATACTCCCAAGTATCACAAGATTAGTTTCCGTATTGCAAGAATAGAGCAACACACACAAAAAGATTTGCCACTCTAGCGCAGACAGCAATCAAAACCTATATATATGATCCGTGTGCCAGAATTAAAATTCTAGGCTTCTTTTTTTCCTTCCACATTTCCACATCAACAGTTAAGTGACCAAGGCTGTGGGTGGAAGACAGCTACATTATGACATATATTGTGGTTTTCTTGAACCTGGGAACTGCAAGTTCCCATCTTGCCAGCTGCATTTCTATCCCTAACCCTGCAATTGTGAGAACTTGTTACCCATCTGACATATGACTGCTGACTGTTGTTAACAGTCAACTTCCTGGTGTTATTTCTCCCTGCAGTCTGGTCCCTAGAAATAGCCATCCATTCTTGCTTGTTCATTCTTCTGTGTCAGAGCCCTGCATTTAGGAAGTTGAGTTCAGAACATAACTTAAGTGCACTATAACTTAGGAGTCTCAGAGTTTAGAAGCCGTTTGATTTTTTTCCCTACTCTTGTTAGTGACAGGAAGGTGGATATATTTTACATCTTGAACTACACCTAGGTGTGGTAAGGAGGTGTTGAATACTCTTGAGCCTCGTAGTTCTGGGACATAGGCTCCATTTAGCCAACCAAGTAGCTGCAGAAAAGGATTAGGGGGGGATTTTTATAGAAATGCCCAGAGGGTTGTATTAGAACACAAGTCAGCAACCTGCGGCTCTGGAGCCACATGTGGCTCTTTGAGCCTTCCCCTGCGGCTCCCACGGTGTTCTCCGATGAGCTGAAAAGCTTATTGGGCAGGGCTCCTCCCTTTGCTGCGTCTCTGCAGGAAACAGGAAGGGCAGGAGAGAGCTAGCTAGCCCAGCTACACTGACTCAGGAATTCTGGGAGTTGAAGTCCATGAGTCATAAAAGAGCCGAGGTTGCCTACCCCTGAGCTTGTTGGAGAACAGCTTGAAGCCAGCTTGCCAGATGAGCAGAAGATCGGAGAGAGAGGGAGAGAGAGAAAGAGAGAGGAGGGAGAGGGAGAGGAGAGAGACAGAGAGAGACCCTTTTGACATCTAAAATGAAGATAACATTGCATCTATCCTTTTTTACCTTTATGATAGGTATGTGTGTGTGTGTGTGTGTACACACACGCACCTATCATAAAGGTAAAAAAGGATAGATGCAGTGTTATCTTCATTTTAGATGTCAAAAGGGTTTTGCGGCTCCCAATGTTTTGTTTTTGGTGGGAAACGGGTCCAAGTGGCTCTTTGAGTGTTTTGGGTTGCCTACCCCTGGACTAGAAGGCCTCCAAGTTCCCTTACAGCCTTACGATTCTCTAAACCAGTGCTTCTCAACCTTGACAATTTTAAAGCATGTGGACTTCAACTCCCAGAATTCCACAGCCAGCAATGCTGGCTGTGGAATTCTGGGAGTTGAAGTCCACATGCCTTTAAATTGTCAAGGTTGAGAAACACTGCTCTAAACTTCTATGACCTGCTATCTCATGTACTACTTTATCCATTCAGCAGAGTTAATATAATAGTTGCCATTTGCAAGCTGAGTACCAATTGGTCTTTAGTCTAATACAGGTAGTCCTCAACTTACTACAGTTGAGCCCAAAATTTCGGTAGCTAGACATTTGTTAAGTGGGTTTTGCCCCATTTTGCAACTTTTCTCGCCACTGTTAAGTGAACAGATTGAACATGTGTACATGTCAAATTAGTAACACAATTGTGAATCTGGCTTCCACATTGATTTTGCTTGTCCGATGGTCAGTCACAAAAGGGGATCACGTGGGCCCAGGACACCATAATTGTCACGAATACTTTCCAGTGGCCAAGCATCCAAATGTTGATGATGTGACCGTGGGGATGCTGAAGCGGTCCTAAGTGTGAAAAACAGTCACCGGTCCCTTTTTTAGTGCCATTGTAACTTTGAAGGGTCATTAAAGAAACCGTTGTAAGTCAAGGACTACCTGTAGGAAGCTGCTTTGATGCGTTTTCTGAACCAGTTTTGGAAAAGGCATGCCTTTTCTAGAGCAGTTGAGGAAAAAGCCGAATGTTCATATCTTAACATTATTCTAAGGAAGAACCTTACCTATATGTTAGCATGATCAAACTGTCGATGCTTTGGGTTTACTTTTGATCCAGAGGATCTGTCCTATTTTCATTCCCCTCTGTCTAGGCACATGCACATGTAACTTCTTTGAATCACTCACCAGTCAGGAAAAAAAGTACCTGATTAAAAATAAAAACAACTGGGGCCTTCCTTTAAAAAAAAAAAACTGGAAAAGCACCATGAGCCCAAAGTTATTTGTACCAGTTGCATTTGAATCTCTCAGCAATGCCTCTACAGCAGTGGTTCTCAACCTTTCTAGTGCCGCGACCCCATAATACAGTTCCCCATGTTGTGGTGACCCCCAACCACTTATACATCACCGGGTACCAGGGGCGTGGCCAAAGAAAAGGGGGAAAAAATGGCGGACAGCCTTGTTTGGCGACCCCCGTGAAATGGTCGTTTGACCCCAAATGGGGTCCTGACCCACAGGTTGAGAACCACTGCTCTATAGTAAACTTACAAAAAAATATTCTCTTCCTTTCTTGCTTCATATAGCATTTGTCTGGGGGTCCAGCATTTGAATGTGAATTAGGAGTTTTATATTTCTTAGTCAAGAGTGCAGTTTGCCACAAGAGCTCAGGGGTAGAGTTTAAAAAAACAAAACACCACCCTTTCCTAAATGTCTGGATCCACTGATTTCTCCTGGCTTCTTGAAATAAAGTTAACCTTGTGCTTGTGTTTGTAAGTATGCTCTAATCCTGTGACCAGCTGCTTCTCCCAAGCCTTGAATTCAGCAGCTTCAGCCTAGGTATCACATGCTGAAGGTCATCGCTTTTGACAGGGGAAGTGGAGCAGAGAACGTTTTGCAAGTGAGGCTTTAGATTTGAGCTCCTATGACAGGAGTCTTCAAACTTGGCCCTTTGATGACTTGTGGACTTCAGTGCCTGGCTGAGGAATCCTGGGAGTTGAAGTCCACAAGTCATCAAAGGGCCAAGTTTGAAGACCCCTATTCTAAGAGGCGTTAAATGGTTCCATTCCTCTTTCAAAGAGGCTAAACTGAAGTGGTTTTAAAGAAAAAACTTTAAAATAAAAACCTACAAGGGAGGGAAAAGAAACCCAGTCCAATAATAATCACGCGAAATTGGGAGTTTTATATTTCTAACAATCTTTTGTTTTTATTATTAAAACAAAATTATTATTTTTTTTAATATATTAATAAAACTGCCTGTTTCTTTCAGGTGGGTGTACATGGCATTAGAATAGAATTCATCAACGAAAAAGGATCAAAACGCACGGCCACCTACTTACCCGAGGTTGCAAAGGAGCAAGGTCATTGTTGGGTTTTATCTCATATGATCTGGTGAAGAATTTAAACATGCCTAGGAACTTATAATGCAGTATTTGACCTTGCCCTGATGTCAGATGATGGAGCAGTCCTTTAATTGTAAGGGATGACTCTTCTTTTAAATGCCACTTACACACTTGTAGAAAGCAGGACCCCCCTAGATTGCAGGGATCCAGACATACTAACAAAGCAGCAATGGGGCCAAATGGTGGTGAGAGACAGTGGGAAAAAATAATCCACACAGATAGAAAACTCCAGACACCAGCCATGCAGGAAGCTCTTTTAAAAGGGCACTGCCACCATTTATGAAAGCATTTTATTTTATTTTATTTTTAAAAAATCTTCTTACCCATTTGCTCCAGGACACTGTTCTGACTCAAAATTGTTTTTTCATGAGGCAACTGGACTTCGTTGTTCTTTGAAGACATTTTGCTTCTCACCCAGGAAGCTTCTTCATTTCTGACTGAGCAGTGGAAGGATGTATATTCCTTGCGGTCATCTGATCATTAACACTCTCTCTGAGACTTGTTGAGACCACTTGGGGTTTATCTATGCCACAGGTCAGCAACCTGTGGCTCTTTGAGCCTTCCTCTGCGGCTCCCACAGTGTTCTCCGATGAGCTGAAAAGCTTATTGGGCAGGGCTCCCCCCTTTGTTGCGTCTCTGCAGGAAACAGGAAGGGCAGGAGAGAGCTAGCTAGCCCAGCTATGCTGACTCAGGAATTCTGGGAGTTGAAGTCCGTGAGTCATAAAAGAGCCAAGGTTGCCTACCCCTGAGCTTGTTGGAAAACAGCTTGAAGCCAGCTTGCCAGGTGAGCAGAAGGGGGGGAGAGAGGGGGGGAGAGAAAGAGAGAGAGAGGGAGAGGAGAGAGAGAGACAGAGAGAGACCTTTTTGACATCTAAAATGAAGATAACACTGCATATATCCTTTTTTACCTTTATGATATATGTGTATATGTGTGTGTGTATATATATACACACACACACCTATAATAAAGGTAAAAAAGGATATATGCAGTGTTATCTTCATTTTAGATGTCAAAAGTGTTTTGCGGTTCCCAGTGTTTTGTTTTTGGTGGGAAACGGGTCCAAGTGGCTCTTTGAGTGTTTTGGGTTGCCTACCCCTGATCTATGCCCTCATGGTCCCCCTGATTAAGAGTGCAAATGGGTGTGAAATCTTGGAACCTCTGAGAGGACTGCATTGTAAACGGGAGAGAGGTGGTGTCCTATGCCTCCCCTCTGTTGAGAGGGGGCTGCTCAATTTACCCTCTGATCCAGGTGGCCCCGAGGGTACAAATAAACTCCCAAGTGGCCTCACGGACTCTCGGAGAGAATGCCAACGACCAGATGACCTCAAGGACTATAAATACTACCTCCCACCCACCATCGTCAGAACATGAAGAGGCTTGGATGAGAAGCGAAACGTCTTCAAAGAAAAACAAAGAAAGTCCAGTTGCCTCTTGAAAAAGCACCTTTGGGACGACCAGAACCTGGAGGACCAAGAGTCTCCATAGACTCTTCTGACCTTCCATTTAGATACACCTCTAAGATAGGTTATCTGAGAAAAAAGGGCATCAGCCAAGTCAGAGAAACAGAATTGGCCCTATCAGGTGCAATCTCGGTCCTAAAATTGACCCCAGATTCTTTGAAGCATCCCTAAGACCCCTTGTAAGGGATGTAGAGAGCCATCATAAAAACGGGGAAAGGGCTGACACCATGGACACTGCCTAAACGCCAGGTCTCCAACCGAACGCTACCATTCGCCAACATTTTCCATGGTCACAGTTCAGAGAGTGACACCTGGTTTCATTTCGGACCGTAAGCGCTAATAAAATTTTCACTGGTAGGAAATTGGATTTTTTTTTAAAAAAAAAAATGACTAGAAATTATATATTTGTCAGGGTTTCTGGGCTGTGAAAACGCAGGTTCAACTGCTTATAATTTGGAAAAGTTGCATAAATGTTATCATTGATACAATATGTATGTAATAGACAAAGTGCAGGTAGTCTTCAACTTGACAACCACAATTGGGCCCCAAATTGCCCATTTGCTAAGCGAGACAGTTGTTGTCAGGGGACTTGACAGTTGTGAAGTGTGTGTGTTGCCCCATTTTACAACTTTCCCTGCCGCAGTTAAGTGAATCACTACAGTTATTAAGTGAGTAACCCGGTGGATTAAGTGAATCCGATTTCCCCCCATTGACATTGCTTGTCAGAAGGTCACAAAACGGGATCACATGATCCTGGAACAGGGCAACTGTCGTAAGTACATGCCAGTTGCCAAGTGTCTGGAT